GACATCCACTCAGGCTGTGGTACAAGTATTACACACAGCAAGTGAGCCTCTGGGAAACTGTCCTTTCCCCATTACCTTTCCGTGGAGAATATTTTATTCATCTTGTATTACCAGCACTGAAATTATTGAGAGTTTTGCCATTGGCTTCAAAGGAAGAAGAATTGAGCCCTTACTTGCTATAGTGCTGTGGGTTAAGTCAAACCCAGCATTAATTTGACAGTGTTGCTGCTGTTACTCACGCTCTTCAGGCTGCTGTTAGACACGCTGTGTCAAAGCACTGCAGCAGTGTAGGAATTGTGGACTTTCAGCCTGCAGTTTTGGGGAGAGTGGTCAAGCTTTTGATATAGTTTAAATGTTCTCAGTGGAGCTCAGCTACAAAGCCAAGCTGGTATTTGTGTGTGTGTATCTGTATCTATACACAGTCACTGAAATCAGAGGAGTGSTCTTGAATGCATCTCTGCTTGAGACTGAAATTCAAAGTGTTATTGCACATGAGTTTGATTATTGTTACTTCTAACGACAGACCATCACTGTGTTTTAGTCACTTCCTTCTACTGTGTAATCTCTGTCCAGATGAAACGTGAAACCCAATGACCATTAATCATTTACTCTGACACGAAAAATGGGTGCATTGCTTATTTTTCTACCAGTGGGAATAGTTAAATTAACAGGAGCTTTGTTTTCTTATTAATGGAGCTCTTTAATCTWTTCCTTGATTGTGATACTCTTGCTAGACATGCCTGCCCCGGGTCCCTACCAATGGGTCCTGAGTGCTGATGGTTCCAATTAGTTGGAGTTCTCAAACACTGGAAAACAGTGCAAAAAATGGCATAATAAACTTGGGAAATCTACATTTTCAGCAACTCACCTGCAAGTAAATGGGAGTGTCACCCACAGTGCAAGTAAACAGAAATTATTTAATTATCATATAAAAGTAATTAAAGACAGAAATGCACATGGAGTTCTCCTCAAACACTGGTGATGTACATTAACAAGTTTTAGAATACGGATCCAGTGACCTACATGAGCAAAAGCGTGCGCTTGGGGTAGTCTCTATCCATAATTTAGTACAATTATTTTGGCTTACTTCTCCCCATTCAAAGACAGACAAATATAACGCTAAGAAAAGCAACCAAAGAGCATAAACCTATTTCAAAGCACAAAACAAATGCAAAGGGAGAGCCGATTCAATGTAACATGAAGATAGACTAATGATCAAACTTATCAATATGAATTTACTTTGTTAGAAGACCAGGAACAACTAAGACAGCGTTACGTACGGAGTCGGCCATCGCTGTTAGCAGCAGYAGACCCAGAGAGAGACCATCTTCTCCCAGCCTTTTGCCCCAGCCAGCGTGTGGCCCTGGCGTCCACCCCACACTTCACACGCTGCTTGGCTGGTCTCTCTCATCGGAGGCAAAGCACCTAAATCTCAGAGTGCCAGGGAGCTGCCTGCAATCCCATTACAGATAATGGAGAAGTAGATCCTGTTGCCCGCACAAGTATCTAGCAACAACACCCGAGCTGATTTGGGGCGTGCAAGGCACACCCGGGTAGGCAGATATATGAGAGAACCTAGGGGAGAGCTCAACCCTTCCAGAGCAGCAGCTCACACCCAAGCGGGAACCTTATGGCATCTCGTTTTGCACTAAAAAATATTGCACAGCAGCTTAACTGAGGCAGTCAATACAGTTTGTTGAGCCTACGGAATGAGTCAGATGACTCTAAAAATATATACGTGTTGGTTAAACTGCTCTGCTCAGCCCTGCACACCTATAGCTTGACACCTAAATTTAGGGAGTTCAGTCTTGAGCTGAATCCCACACACAGCTTCTGCAGGAAGCAATGGGACTCCAGTCCCTTGCCTCCCATTAACTCACCACCGTTGCTCATGCCTTTGCTGGACTTGAACCAGGTCCTGCCCACATGCTATTTTCAGATATTCAGCAGAAACCTAAAGAGCTGCAGCAACTGACTCCAGCCAGAGGATGTTTATAAGGCTGCATTTTTGCTCCAAATGATTCTCCTATAGGAACTAACTGCCCAGGCCAGCATCAGCCCATCACTCAGAAGACAATCCTTTCTTTCACACACACAACATGTCATGTGTCCCTCCTTATGTACTTGCTGGGAATTTGAGCAATTTATTTTGAAAACTGAGGCATGCACCAACCTCAGTGCTTGCATTTTATACAAGCTAACAGAAAAATAGGCATCAGCCATCTGAGCCCCACAAAACAAAGGGCTCCATTTAGGTGCCTGAGCAAAGACATCTAGCGCCATCCGAGATGCCTTAAGGCACCCAAGATACACATGGGGCTGGCAGGTATCACATAGGACTTATGGAAGCAGCAGCTAGAGACTGGAGACCACGCAGGATACCCTAGGGGGTCTCAGATGCTACTTGACGCCAAAGCATAAGCAAACGAATTAAGCTCTGAAAACCTTGTTTATACTTAAGTCAGTTGTACGACTCCCATATCTAACAAACACCCACCGTGCGGAGCTGCTAAGCAGAAAAATAGCTTTAAAAAAAAAATCCATTTTTCAGGTCTACTGAAAGCTGGCCGAGCTTACAGCCTGTGTCAGCTTATTTTGTTATGAACATATAATGCTCACTGAACCCCATGAGTTGCTGCGATAATAATCGCTGCCAGCTYGCTGAATGGATTCCTTTCAGCTCCTGCCTCTGCTGTTATGTGGCTACCGCGGAGCTCCCACAGTACACCAGCACACCGTGGACACCGGTTTTTAGCTGCAGAAGCCAGAGAGCTGTCTGGAAAGGCATGAGCTCGGAATTGATTACCAGACCATAGGAGAGGAAGGTCATTGTGTCAAGACTCCTGGCTACTGCACTACACTGAGAGCGCACTACTGTGTAATCCTCTTATAAACATCTGCCATTCCACACGGGAAAACATCTCAATTGGTTTAAATTAGTTTTTATTAATTGGTACACTGTTTATGAAGTTGTTATGGCACTACAGCCTTAGCTGAGTAAGATAACACGAGACAAGTGTACGAGTCTTTCATGTGCAGCTAATAAATCTGCGATCCTGGGCAGGCTCTGCGGGTCCTTCTTGAATTCCAGCCTGAGGATTCAGAACGAGGTAGTTCAGTTTACACAAAAAGTTGTTACGTGTATAATCTAGCTGCCTTTTGAGTAATGTGAACATGAAGATAATTTAAAAATAAAAAGCCAACTTAATACTAACAATGTCAATGCAATATTTATAAAACATAACGTGAAACTATGAACAATAATTATTTTAAGCAATTAGTATTAAATGAGCATAACTATACAAGCTGCTGGTCTTACTGGACTAACAGAAGAAGAACTGACGTAAGTTTTGCTTTAGAAAACCATTACTTATAGCAAAAGCATCACTGCTTATTTCTCTTTACGGTTTTTGCATGTTTAATTGATCTAAGAAACTTRTATGCTTAAAAATAGAAACACATCTTGACTTTGCGTTTTATCATTGACAAGCTTTATGAGACAGACTTATTTGCATTGCACCTTCCTTTTCTATAGCAGAACTATAGATCATTTTCCCACAGCACATTCTTTCAGCAGCTCGCACCCTTGAGCACAGGTTACACGAATGCACACTGCCATCTAGGCAGGTTGTTGCGAGCAGCACGTATTTTAAAATGAACCATCTTATCTTCACCAGGGAGAAATACTTCTGGTATCCATATGGAGGAAGGAGGATTACTTTTTAYGCTATTAAAAAATCACACATTCCCACTCACTGCAAATGCAAAACCTACTTCCTAACCAGACTGTAGCAGTCATCATTAAGAGCTAATATTTTCTAAATGTGTTTACTGAAACATATGTTATTTCAGTATTTCCATATATGCAACTCAAATTTAACCTCCACAGTAATAGCTGAGGCCAATTAAAAAGCAAATTTTACATTGGCACTAATGTAATTCTGTTTACTTCATATGCTTTGAAATATAATGCCAGTACATTTTAAAGAAAATTAATAAAATATCCTTTTTCTACAAAAACAAATATTTTTAAAATAGCTTTCTTCATAGAAAAACTAGTTTTCATCAATTATAAAAATATAAAATACATAATATACTAGTTTTCATCAATTATAAAAATATAAAATACATAATATAGAGAGACTATTTAAAACAAATTCTATAAATAGCATTTACAGAAGACTCTCTTACAGGCAGAAGATATTTACAGAAGATTTGACAAAGTCATTTTAATTAGAAACACATCAAACAACTTCATTTTCAGTTGTATCAGCACAATATTTCTTCCTTCTCCTTTCACTCCAGCAGGCTAGTGTGGGATTCTGCAGGGAAGGTAGAAATCAATGCAGAATGCTACACAAAATGGTAACAGAACCTGAAAAGACTGTAATTTAGCGCTTCCATTTGTCCATACCCGTTGGACATTGCTTTTTGAATTCAGTTCTGGAGGACAAGCACTATCCCATTCTACAGGCACCAAAGCAGAGGCCAGGACTGCTCCAGAGTCAGCAGAGTAAGAGGAGAGCTGCCCAGGAGTCCTGTGAGCACAGGGCTGTGAGACATGACCCAAAGGACAGAGTTCCTTGGGATTTCAGTGGAAAAGCTCATTGAAAACCCCTAAATCATTGGGATGTTTGATGGAAGGGCACAGAGGGCAACATCCACTGACACTCGGAAGGAAATTCTCCTCCTCAGCTTCTCCTTGGCTGCTTCAGCCACATCTCAGGAACTGCCCTGAATAGGTTTGTTTAGGAAGGACTTTCTCCTGATTAAAAGTGGAAATGTGGTTATCTGGCTGCAGACATATTTTTACTGCACATAATAAGGAGTAACAGATTTTTAGCATGACATTCATTTGTACAGAGAGAGAGGCAAACACAGAAACCAGAAACTGCTGAATTCACATTTCATTTACACATTGGACAAATGGGCAGAATTGGTACCAATGGTACTGTCTGTGCTGGAAGAAGATCCAGCCCTTTGAGCAGTCCTGGAAKGCAGGACAAGGTATGACAGCTTTCACAGCAAGGATCCTTGCTCTGTCCTTGATTTGTCATATGGAAAAGGAGGACGTTATTGAAAATTAAGCAGACATCTCTATTTAGTTCCAAAGCTCTCAATTTAAAAGACTAGAATCATTTTTGTACTTCAGGATAGTCAGTGTACTTTCTGTTAGCACAGGAAAAATAAATACGCTCACATTTAGCTTTATTATAGCAATACAATGCTACCAGAAAGACTATGTCCTCATCAACAGAAAATGGCATGTGTACTATTTCTTCTCCCACCACTGACATGGTTATGGCAGAGTACTGTTACCTTTCTTTGGACAAGTCAGTACATTTTATTTAACTGTTCAGCAGCAGATATCCCATATCTAAAGGAAAAAATCATTAAACAATAATACTGCAGTAAATGTAGCAATGGAGACTATCATCTAAAGCACTTTTTAAYCTCTTCCTAAGAAGTATGTTAAGAGTTTCTGTTTTCCTCAGAGAGGATGAAATCAGTATTTTGGACCTATTTTACATGAAACCATTCAATTCATAAAGACAGGCAACTAATCACACTTGTTAAAGATCTTAGTCAAAAACTAAATTTGGCCAGACACACAAGTTGGCCTTGCTTTATTTTGCTGAAAACATAGTCACATTCAAAGGACTTCTTTGGGTTTTCCTGAAGCAACAATAAAAACAGGACACATCATGTGCATAATTTGTTTTATTGAATAAAATTTTGTTTCTAATATTTACATAGTGAAATTTAGAGGTAATCTAACAAAGCACTGCAAAATGTATAAGGCTCAAATTGAATCTGAAATATTTTTAAATATATCTGAAATTATKGTAGGAATCACTTGTCCATCATTAATGTCATAATTAGTAGAGATTTCAACTTTCTGAAGAATAGTCAGGATGAATATTAAGGATAGTTGACTTCAGTGAAAACTTCTGTGTGCTTTACAAATTCCAAAACCAAAAGCTCTGAGTAAGTATCATGAGTTTTGAAGGCGGCTTCTGTATTTCCCTGTTCTTCTCATCTCTGCAGAAGATGACAACATAAATTACAGACTTTAAAGCTGAAAGTAATACCCACATTTTAAACATGGCAATCTCATCTTTTTAAATTTATAATGTAATCTGTAGAACATAAAAGATAAATATCCTTTTTCAAGTATAAATTAGGATTAAACCCATTTCTAATGAGTGGTGAAAAGTTAGTTCTTAGGCATAATTGACTTGATATTTTCTTCCAGTTTGGCTACTTATCCAGATTTGATATAAACACCACYAATGCCCACTTAATCTCAAAGATGTCTAAACTATAATTTAACAATGTACTTATGTACAAAAAAACTACATTCAAATGCTAAAGCTGCCAAGACAGATACTTAGAAATTAGAAATGCTGCAACTAATGTCTAGTGTCTAGACAACACTAATTATGGCCATTTGCACAGAAACTTTACGATGAAGTGTCGTCCATCCTACTCTGGTATCTTAAGCAAAGGGTGTCATTTCTTTTTTTTTTTTTTCTTTTTTTTTCCCAAAACTTTACTAGATTTACTATCAATCTACCACTGCAGAGAACAGACACCTTGTAAAACAAACAACTGCAATCCCAAAAGTTTTTCTGTTTTTAAGATAGTTTCATTATTATTGACCTTGCATAGATTCACAGCAAGCTRTGATGCAAGACCAAGATCAACAAACAGAGATTTGCAACAATTATCCTAACAGACTAACTCATAGCACTAGGAGACTGTTGTATCTGGACTACCCACTGGCTGTGAATGAGACACAATTCAAGAGCCTTATTTATTTATTTATTGCTATTCAGCAGGGGAAAAAAAGAAGTCAAGAATCAGGAATCTTGCATTCGGTTCAAGCCTCTGGCAGTTGTTTATTCTAGTGGTTACAGACAGCCCATTAGGAACAGCAGTCAGCACAGCCTGAGAGATTTGTGATCCATATGCTGAAAAAAATTAGTTGTTAGTCTCAGGTTAACAAGAAATGATATTGCATAGTCTCTCTCATGCTTTATTTATTGAATTGSTAGAGAAATTGTATTTTCTCCTGTTTCTCAGGAAGTTAAAATTTATGAGGCACTGCCTAGCAAGGACAAAAGAGCACAGACAGTTATTAACCTAAGCATCCAATGGGTTCTTCCTCCTTTCCCAGACAGCATATTGCTTGAAAAAGGGAAGGCATCCCYATTGTTTGCAAGCCTCTCTGAAGTACTGATTTTGTGCAAACTATATTGGATCTTAAAATGTTTCAAATACAAGCTTAAGAAAAAAATATATGTATGTATTATATGAAAATATATATACTATATCCTACTACTAATTAAAATGCCAGCTTTTCCTAAACTTGTAGTATGCTGYATACTTAAATCTTCCAATAAATATATAAAATTAACCCAAGAAAGAAAACTTGAGACTATATGTTTTCCATCTTGACAGCTAAAATTGTTAAGTGCAAAGTGTTCCCTAATGAAGTTACCCAGTGTRATAACTCAGTATTTTTACAGACTAAATTTGTAACTGTAGTGTCTGTATATATACACAAACACAGTCTCGCATAGATGAATTGTCATCTGGTAGGGACAGCTTTAAAATTCAGAATTTGAGAAGAAATCAGGATACAAAATCTGGTAGAAAAAGCTGCAGAAGGTGACAGAAAACCACTCATCCATTTGCCATTTCTGTGTTATAGCTAGTCATAAATATATTTGTGTATCACTAGAATATATGAATGAACATATGAATTATGAAGCGTATTGTCTTTCTTCTTTTTCATCTTTCTTCTTTTCTTTAGTGAACAGCCAGACACCATACCAGCTATCCAGGTACTCTCTAATCATCATGATCTGGTCGCTTCTTTTTTCATTATCTTTCTTTCCTACCACAAAGAATTATCTGGAATACAGCTGCCTACCTGGAAGCTATTTTCCTTGTGGCTAATATAGCTATAAATGATAATCACTRAGAAGCTACTGAAAGGCACAGCTTTTGCTCTTGGCTGTCTCACTGATGAGGTATATGGCTTACATTATTGAACTTTATCTCTGAGCAGGAAAACTATCTGTACCATCAACCTCAAAGTAAGCAACGATCTGTGTGTGAGACACTGACATGGGTTATGGGTTGTCCATCACTGGGACCTCCTTGATTCTCCCTTTTCCCCTCCAGCAGTAGGTCAAGAAGATGCCCTGCTTTCCTAACATCCACAAGACTATGGTTCTGCTCAAATCCACATTACTGTAATACTATTTCTGAAAAAAAGATATYCCTGATTTCCCTATACCCAAGGCAGTTTGAAATACATTACCCTTAGCATTCTGAACCACCCACTAACCTCATCAGTTAATGTTATGCTGAACAACAACAAGAACAAGCCAGTAAGCCAGCCCCTCGGTACACTAAATGGACTTTTAGGTGTTCATAACCTCCTGTGATATTTGTTTCTCCTCGTACATCCCTCACTTTACCATGCTATGCAGGAATGGGGGTTAAACTAAGTCTCTGAACCACCAGATCTCCTCAGCTTGTCTTCCTCTCTTTGAACATAGGAAATAATRTTTTATGTCCAAGAAAGGAACAGACTGCAGAATACTCATCTCAGTAGGCCAGTTCTCAGTAGGCTCAGKAGGCCAACTGAGGGTAGTTCTCTCTCTGATAGAGAAAAGATGTCCAGTTCTCTTAAGGACAGGACCAAGGTACCAAGCTCCAAAGAAATCAGTCTTTAATGTAGTAGAATGCACATAAAAGGCAAAGACTCAGAAAGACAGTATGTACCACATATTCTACAAAACCAGCTACAGAATTCATCAGTTTTGGTACAATAATGRGTAATTCTGGAGAAATACTGTTAAGTGGAAATACGCTACTTCCTAGATACCCTGGTCCCACTTCACTCAACCTTATGTCACCGGAGGAAATAAGGGGCAAAAGGCAGTCCTGAAAGCAAATATGCATATAAACACGACTGAGGTATTCATCACCTCCTATCTCCCACCCAAAAAGTAATTTATAGCTTAACACACAGGTAAAGTGGCCACAAGAGGGCGCCTCTAATATAGGGCACAGCAAAGATCCACCTGGTTTCATGCCACAGGATTCCCCCAATCCAAGGGGATATCGCCCGAAGCACGAGACCCGTCAAGACCTAATCGMCAAAACTATACTATTTAATTCACCTAATTAAAGGAACTATAACATTCAATGTGCTCATATATTTTCTATATGAGGAAATATTTCATATATTTCCTATATTTCCTATATTTCCAGCAAACACAAGTTCTGTAACAGCAACACACAATATCAAGTCCTGGTTTGTCAACATAGAGACTAATGGTCCTTATGTGTGTGCAGAAAGACACTTAGTATTATATGACAACAAAATCAAAGACATGTTTGAGATGTTGTGATTAATATAGACAAGAAACATATATTACTTCACACTCCAGGTGCTTGAGTGGTTCTGCAAACAGAAATATTCAAATGTGTCCAAATTATGTGAAAATTATACAGAAACATGATTTTTATAGTGTTAAATACAAATCTTAAATTTGTATTTGAACAGGACTGTAAGGCTCTACAGATAGTTCATGTATTTTCAATGTACCATATATGTCTGCAATGCAGTGCAATTCAGTACAGGTTGGGACTTACAGCATTACACACCACCAAACAGAATGAGAAATATTCCAAAAACAATAAAAACAAAMMAAMAMAAAAAAAAATACTTTACCTGTGAAGTAACTGTAAGTCTTTTAATATAGGTGAAAAKATATCAATTAAGTATTACTTTCATCTGATCTCATTTCTCAGGATACAAGGTGTTCAGTTTTTGGATTGATTAAGCAAGGTAACTTGCTTAAAAGCTGATTTCAATGGCATTGTTTAAAAGCAGTCCAGCACCTTTAAGACTGAAGACCTGAAGCCATAAGGGGCAATTTTATATATATATACACATATATATATATGTATATATATATATATACACACACACACACACACACACACACATATATAAAAATAGAGAAGTAATATCTGCAAATTTTCTAAATTACTCTGCAGAAAGCTCACAGGCAAACTTGCAGAATAAGACATTTCTTCTCACCTGTATTACTTCTCAGTAATTAATCATTTTTCGAAGAGCATCATAGCATTTCCATTTATCTGGGATGTAGAAAGGCTCAAAGATGTGAGGGAAGGGAGTGTCGTAGCCACATACTCTTGAAATAGGAGCCTCTAAATTCAAAAAGCACTCCTCCTATTAACAGAAATACAGGATAAATGTTAGCAAGGTCATTATTTTCAGAAATCTTGCATCACAAATTGAGTTCTAAAGAACTTTGCCTGAAGGTTCTGGAAATTCAAACTTTCTATTTATATAACAGCATAAGTAGTCCAGACTAGTGCTTCCTTTTGCTCAAAGGTACATATTAAAAGAACAACTTGTATTAATGTTATTTTGATTCTTGACATATGTGCTGCATTTGGTTGTATGCAGGGTATTTTTAGTACATTTGCTATACATCCCAAGCACTACCAAGAAACAAATATTTTAGGAAGAAGAGAGGAAGAATTTCTTTCCTATGCCACCTTTAAACAAACAGGAAAACTACAAAACTTTAAAATTGTGAATTATTTGTTGATTAAATGATCATTAYATTCAAACAGATTTCAACCTTTGGAGTGGAAGGCTGTGAACCTGAACACATATGAATTTGCAAACCTTCAACACTTTTGGGTCAAATCCATGTCCTACAAATATAAACAAAATTTTTGTTCTGTCGAGACCTTATATTTGGCAATGTCCATGAGAGCTGCATTACTCAACCTAACAGGGCACAAAATATTATAAATACACCACAGTAACCTGAGAGTGACCTGTGGGAAGATGCATCAAGTGTTACTAGCTTTAATAACCAAACAAATGATGGGATTTGAATCCTCCTGCTCTCCGAAATAGCAGAGTGAGAGCAGAGACCTTGACACGCAATAACAAATAGACAAAAAATAATTTTGCCAGATCAAAAATGTCAATATCATCTCACTTTTTTCCCGTATCTTTGGTACATATGTTCACTTTCCAGACCAGACAAATGAAAGGACAAAATATGTCTCTCCTCTTGGCCTCTCGTTCATGGACTGCAACGACTAAGACGTGCTGGCCAACTTCCCCTCTCCTTGGCTCAGCAAAATGGAAGGTAAAGTATGAGCAGCCACAGTCCTTTTCCACCATAAAGTCAGACAGCTGTGTTTTTCTGAAGCAAAGTGCTAAGTATTTTCTCAGACTAATGAACTGTTTTGAATGCTAGTTGCCTTACAATCCAGAGCAGCCAAGCTCTCATTCTCTGTGCTATCTATCCATCGTGACATATGGCAACACTGAAGGTACTCATTGCACACTGTGACTATTGCTTTTTTTTCCAGTTACCTCTCCTGTACCGTTTTAAGTGGCATTTTCCTTCAAGGTAAACAGAAGTAAAAAAATTAGKAAGTTTTATGATTGCATATAGTGTTGTAACATTTAATAACTAAATAACCCACCGATACTACAGAGCCTAAATAGCTCTGAAGTACATATATATATGCAAACAGATATTTTTGAGATCCCTCGTCCAGCGCACTATTTGCTTTTTCCTATAAAGTGAAAGATTCACATTAGCACAAAATGTTGGGAAAAAGAGTGTATTAAATCCTCTACTGTTCATGAGATATATAGACTTTCTATTGAGCCAGGTCACGGTGTTGAACCCCAGCTGGCAAGGAGAATATTTTTGTTTCTAATCAGTCCTCACTTTCCATGTTGTGACTGCCAAGTAGGACTATTGTGCTTTGGGACCACCCGATTTTGGCCCGTCTGAACCAAATCTGCACTGCTCCAATTCTACACTGCTCTTCTGGAGTAACTGTCATAGGATCATTTCGTGTCCTAATAGGCTCCAAAAGGGCAGGCTATCCCAAATTAAGTCTGCAGAGCACCTTTGCTACAGCTCCAATGARTATATTCCCTACAACGCTGCCCATACGTTGGGCATCTGTGCAGAGAGCAGACTGCCCCCTCCGTGGGCCAACTGGCAGAGAGCCCACGTTGGCCAACACTGGCAGTTGGACCACTGAAATCCATGGAACAGCGAAATCCTTGAGGGAGACCCTTTGCTTACACTTTGACTGAACTCAGCACAGCATCAACCCCAAATGGCTCTGTCTGTCGTACTGCGTCAAAAATGGAATTTCACTTTGCATTAGCTTGTTTTTTTCCAACAATATTTTTGTGACTTCATCACAGGGTAGCTGCCTCCTCAACATTTAGTCTTCCACACATTTTGCACATCAGAACAAGCTTGTCCTAAGATGCCTTAGGGAGAGACCTGTGCCCTTTTTGTTTTTTTTTTAATCAAACCAGCTGATATATTTGGAAAAAGACATTGCCTGGTTACCAGCTGTGCTTTGGATAAGTGCAGGCATGCATGCAAATCTTTGGTAAGATTGAGGCCTTTGTTTAATTTTTTTCTATAATTTGGTTTGGAGCCGGTTCTGTAATACAACAAATAGGGCTTACCAATTCAAGAGTTTTTAATTTCACTTCTGAAGTTTCTGGAAGAATATATTCAGGTCTATACTTTAAATTCAAATCAAACCAAACATTTTCACAGAGATGCAGGCAGCTGATTGTCTGTGGCATTAATTTAACAACTGCAATCTGAGCAAATGAGATGATATTCCTAATTACATGAAATTACAGCTCAGAAAAATCATACCGTTAGCAAACATTTAAAGYCAATGTAAGATGTTTACATTTAGATATATATTCTGCGGGCATTCTTCAAACTCATCCCCACTCTTGAGCTTGAAGGGGCACCTAGCTTAAGTGATTGCCCACCAAACAGCCTATCTCATACAGATGCTTGTTCACAGCTGCTGTATGCCGTAAAAGAAAGACTGCATGAGAAGCAACAGTTCACCTAATGGCGAATACAATATTGCCATATCTGCTGTTAAAAAAAAAAAAAAAAGGAAAATTTAAATCTTTTTGTAAGTCAAGTAAGTATGGAGGTTTCATGAAAGATAAAATGTTTTAAAATAATTTCTGAAAATCTGTATATAGAAGTCACTTATTTAGTAGAATATTTATGCACTTTGAAAAAACAGTATTTTTTGTAGGTTAAAAATGCTCAGAAAGGAATATATAGAATTAAGAATGAATATATGAAAACTATATTTTTATATATAAAATTTAATTCAAAAATAAAAATTTAATATAAATTTATATATTAAAAAACAACACAAAACAAAAACATTCTTCTTTCCACTGCCTGACTGCAAGGGTCAAATTCTGGCCCCAGTTAACTCAATATGACCTTTGCCAATTACCTTCACTTGCCTGAATTTCACTCAAAGCCTCCCAGGAAATACTTTGTTATATACAGGAAAGGCATTTTAATTGGTCAAATTCTTTAATCTCTACATGTATTGCTTAATACCTGTTCAGGAAGACTTTTCAAAACCACTTAGGAGTATGGATTCCATTAAAAATGTGCTCTGGAAACTCCGGGCAAGCAGTCCAACACCAGCCTCACACATGCAAGACTCCTTGAAATGAAGGCACGAGATTCTTTTGAAGGGATGTGAAAAACAAAGATTTGCTACATGTTGCATGACCATATTTCAAATACATTCCATGGTGCTGCACAGACTCCCAGTATTTCCATAAATGATACTACTCTAGTATGCTAATGTGGAAAACTTTATCCAAGATTTTTTTTTTTGTTAGCATTAGGTTATCATTTAGTTTGTGTATCCTTTACTCTTACCACACAGGCAATCGAATAACGAGATTCAATAGTCTGTACTGACAATCACTGCATTGCTAAATCAGGAGCTGACCTTAAAATATTAACACGTATGAAAAATTCACAATTTATAAATTCAGACATTTATAAAGATATGCAATGGTACAACTACAGATAAAAAAAACAAAGCAAATATATTATTGGAGATTACTGAAAGAAAATTTTGCCCTCCTTTTGCAACTCATAGAAAATTMAAGCAATCTGATATACACTTCAGGAAAGCGCTTTCAGGCATCTGGCCAATAAGCAAATAGTTAAGAGTTTGTTGCTCCAGAGCTTCCTTCCTCTGAAGAGAATCTATATCATTCTGCATTTATTGAAAAAATAAAATTTCCACTATTTCATGTGTTGCTGCAGTAAAATAAAAGCAAGATAAATTCTGAACTGATCGTGGTCCCCTTAAGTGTCCTACTTCGGTTGTACTCTTTTTGCTTCCATATGTTTTGGATCTATTTCGCTTCTCTTAGTGATGTGTTTAGAATCAGCAAAAAAAGGCTGTGTTTACTTTAAAATTCTCCTACTTTGTAGGATACCCCCGAAGCTGATTAAACTTTCCATAAAAACTCCATTATTTCTGTAACATTTTAGGCACTGGTGGTCTCTCCCACATTATTCTTATTTTGTAGCATTATGGATACTAGAGAGAGAGAGGAAGAATTACAATCATATCRCAGGACTAAAAAGTTGTATAAGAACACAAATCGTATCATTACTTTTTCAGTACAGAAATTTATTTTCTGCGAGGTAACAAAAAATATGAAGAGTAATATCAATAGGCAGAGTTTCATGGAAGTTTTAGTATTTCTTTTGGTATTATTACAATAAAAGTGAGAACTTAAGTTAAGATTACATAAGACAAACTATAGGAATAATTTTCATGCAACACTACTTAGTTTTTTAYATGGTTCAACTGCAAAATTTGGATGCAGTAATTGGATGGCTTATTCACACTCGGGAACAAAGAGGCTAGTTGCAAAGGTTTACCCCAGTTGTGAAGTTTCTAAAGGTTATAGTTCTGAATTCCATCTCACCTCTAGACTATAGTATAATAATAATAACAACAATAATAATAACAACAATAATAATAACAATAATAATTTTCCCTAAAGAACCTTTCAGGGACAAGTTCAGAGATTCACTGCTGCTGTCATAAATTTCTATGTGGTTTTAAAAAGTTAGGGAAAATTATCCCATAACACTTTTAAATGAATTTTACATTTATTTTTGCTATTACTTCCCCARATGATTTTCTAATTGTAAGTTTTCTGTTACTGCAAGAATAAGGCAAATCCTATTGCAGATTAATAGTTGGCATCGTGAACTCGTTTATAACTTTTTWAATAAAGCCTTTTAATTTTTTCCATCTGTGTCAAAGTTTTCTACAGAAAATAAATTAGATGAAGAAAGATTT